GGCATTGACACATATTATGGGGCCGGGGAGATGGCTCAGTGGAATAAGCGCTTCCCTAGCAAGCGCAAGGGTCTGAGTTCAATCCCCGGTTCCGCAAAAAAAAAAAAAAAAAATTTGGCATTGAATGGAGGCATATTGAATTAACTTTTCAGAAAAAAAAAAAAATCTACCTATCAAGAAAACAGTATAGAATAGAAAAGGCAAGGCCCTCAAGAAAAGATGGCAACCATTCCAACAAATGCTGTTGCTTTCTGAAATTTTATTTATCTGAAATAGCATTTCTGAAATGGACAAAAAGGTTGAATAGTTTGTAGACAGACACATTTCTTTTTGTGTTACTCAGATAGGCTCTTGCTATGTTGCCTAGGCTGGTCTTGAACTCGAGGGCTTGCTTGATCTTCCCATCTCAGCTTTCCTAGTAACTGGGATTATAGGTATGCGCCAACATGGCAGCATCTGACAGATGTTTCTACTTCAGAAATATCTGCTAGACAAAATTCAGCATACTTTAAAAAATCATAGATCTATGTAAGGATAAAGAGTTAATATATTTGTTGGTGAAAATCTCTCTCTTTTTTTTTTTGTGGTACCAGGAATTGAACTCAGGACCTTGCACTTACCAGGCAAGTGCTTATTCTAATGAGCTATCTCCCCCATCCTATCTCTTCTATTTAAAACTTACTTCTCAGGGCATGTACTAAGCGGAGAGCACAACTTTAGTTAGAGAAGATTTTCCCTAAGGCTCTTACAACTTACTTAACCTTGGGTATTGAGATGAGCCAGTTAGTAGCAGGCTAATTAAGACCATTCATCAGCCCTGACTAAACATTTAAATATTAACCTACAAATTAACTGTAACACCAGAGGAGTTTTATTAGGTTTCTTTGATGTAAAGACAAATAGTAGGGCTGGGAAGATAGCTCAATGGAATAAGCACTTCCCTGTTCCGCCAAAAAAGAAGAAAAAAAAAAAGACAAATAGTAATGGAGATCCTAACATAACATCACAAGTATGTACAGTCTTGTTTGGTGGTCACAGCTGTGGTTCATGAGTCTAGTGGTAGAAGTGGCAGTCCTGAAGTAAATCTTGGGAAATGTGCTTGACTACATTCTTCAAATAGTTGTCTTCTAATGGCACCTTAGATATAATGGAAGCAATTTCATCTTGGCTAGAAAGAAGAAAAGGTTAATTAATTTTTCTGGAAACTTATACATGTCTCCAATTCATTGCTACTCATATTTTTGGGTACAGTATCTCAGTTTCCCATAAAGCACAGATATTTCTGGACATAAAAACAGACTACCTATTTGAAATGAGACCTCAAATTATGCTGAGAACTAATTCTGTATGTAATTATCAGGGCCAGGGAGATAGCTCAGTGGCTTACGCACCTGCCTGGCAAGCTCTAGGTCCTGAGTTCAAATCCCAGCACCAAAAAAAAAAGTGCTGACCCCGCCCCCGGGGCACACTGAGACAGCAACTGAGACTGGGCATGGTGGCATGTGCCTGTAATCCCAGCTCTTGGGAAGCTGAACACAGGTGGATCACTACAAGTTGGATCTATGTAGTGAGACCATGTAGACCCTGTCTTAAAATTAAAAA